GGGGGGCCGGGGGGGGGGGGCAGCCCGTTGGGGGGGTGGCTCAGCCCGTTGCTGGGGCTGTAGCGCTGCGCCGGGCTCATGGTGCACGGCCGCTTGCTGAGGTGCTCGGGGTGCAGGGGGTCGCGGTCCAAACCGTTCTCTTTGGTCCTAGGGGGGGTGAGGGGGGAGAGGATGTTGGTTCCCATGGGGTCCCCGTGGGGTCTCCAAGCATCCGTGCACAGCCCTTCACACGGGTACCCATTCTGCACCCCTGACTACACACCATCCCACATTGCACTTGTTCCCCCCATCATCCCGGCCTGCAAGCCACCCAGCCCTTCTCAGGCCATGCACCCCATTGCAGACTGTGCGCTGTATCCTGGACCATGCATCACATCCCAGAACACATCCCACATTCCAGACTGCACATCCTCATCTCAGACTGCGCACCACATCCTGGACACGCAGCCCTTCCCTGACTGCACATCTCCACCCTGGACTCTGCTCCACCTCTCAGATCCCACACCCACATTCTGGACCATGCAGCACATGCAAATCCTGCAACCTTATGCTGGACTGAGCACCAGACCCCGATCCACGCACCCCCATCCCAAACCACGCACCCTATCCCAGACTACCTCATCCAGAACCGTCAACCCCTTTGGCACCCCTGACCGTGTGGGGCGGTACGGATACATCCCTACTAAACCACATCCTCACCTGTCTGGTGTCCTCCTCTTGCCACTCTCGCTGACCTCCAGGAGCAGCTCGGAGGAGTCGATGGGTGAGGAGGCGTTGGCATCCAGCAGCAGCTGCTCGTGCTGCGCCAGGTACTGCGCCGGGCTCTGCTTGGCCATGCGGGCACAGTGCAGCAGCTCACGCTGCAGCAGGGGCAGATTGGCCTGGAGGGAGAGGGTGTGGAGCAAAAGTCCAGACCCCATCGTGGTGCCCCGAAAGCCGCCCCAAAAGCAGCCACCCCCATCCTCATAGCTCTCAGAGCAGCGGCGGCGGAGCAGCAGGAACACATGTAAGCCAGGTGCTCCGGCTGCCAGCTCTGCTTTTCTCTTCAGGCAGCTGATCTGCAGCCAAACCCCCATCTGTCCGACACGTTAGCGCGAGGCAGAGACGCACACCGCCCTTTTCCCTGGCTGGGGGAACAATCCCCCCCCAGAAAAAAACAACCAGCCAACCAACCAAAAAATCCAGAGTCTGGGAAGCACGCCGCGCCCGGCTGCTTGCACTTAGGGTAATGGGAAGCAGCTGGAGCCCAGGGTGGGAGCAGCTGGGAGCAGGGTGCCGGCCTTGGGGATGCTCTGCTGTCCCCCCCAGCCCCGTGCAGCTCCCTGTGGGGCAGCAAAGAACACAAGAGTGGGGAGAGGGCATGGGTTCAGCATCACCCAGCTTACAGGACCAGAACATCTGCCAGGAAAGGCAGCGATGGGCGAATCCCCCCGCAGCGGAAAAACAAAATAATGAAAGGAAATGTCCAAAAAAGGGATTTTTTGAATGAATTGCAAATGGTTTGCAGACGGTCCTCACCCCGCGCCATGGGAGGGACACACGGGGCACCAACCTTCAGGAAGGGGATGACAAAGGGCCGCAGTGGGAAGTTGGTGGCCTCCTGCAGCTTGGCGTGAAACTCCTCGATGGTCAGCGTGGAGTTCTGTGGGGACAGCACCCGCTCAGCCCCCCGTGCTGCTCCAGGGGAACCCTCTGCTCTGCAGAACCTGTGAGGTGCCTCCTTTTATCTCCGTTTATCCTCTTAACTTAAGGCGCTGCAGCACCAAGGGGCCCCTTCTTGCCATTTAACCATATTGTAGTACCATAGAACCATAGAATGGGTTGGTTTGAATGGGAAGGGTCCTTAGAGATCATAGAGCAATGGAAAAGGTAAAGTTGGAGGGACCTTAAAGACCACAGAGCCACAGAATGATAGAATGTGTTGAGTTGGGTTGGAAGAGACCAAGAGGATCATACAGCCATAACAGCTGGGTTGGAAGGGATCTTAAAGATCACAAGCCCATAGAATGACAAAACGGGTTGTGTTGCGTTGGGTTGGATGGGACCTTAGAGCCCACCCAGTTCCAGCTCCCTGCCATGCATGCAGTTGCACCCACCAGATCAGGATGCCCAAAGTCCCATCCAAGCTGGCCTTGGGCACTTCCAAGCATGGCGCACCCACAACCTCTCTTTTCAGCCCGCGTCTCCTAACATCTAGCCTAATGCTAAAGACTGAGCATCATCTCCACCCATCGTCTCCATCCCAAACAGACACAGGGAGGGCAGCCCCCGCCGCTCCCCACACACGTACCACGAGCCCCAGGACGAGGGTGCGCACCCGCTCCCCAATCTCAGGCGAGATGTCATTGCCAAACTGCTGCAGGGTGGTGAGGAACCGCTTGAGTTTGCTGAGCTGCCGGGCTCCACAGGCTGGTGGGAGCTGGTGGGTGGACAGCGAGGCGCTGGAGGAGGTGGCCGGGCCATTGCTGAACCCATTGGGGGTGGACGGAGCCCCATTGATGGCGGTGGGCGAGTGGCTGCTGCCGTTCATCACTGCGAGAGGAGAGGAGAGGAGAGGAGAGGAGAGGAGAGGAGAGGAGAGGAGAGGAGAGGAGAGGAGAGGAGAGGAGGAGAGAGGAGAGGAGAGCCCGGTGGCTCCTGTGGGTACCAGGGGCTGGGGTCCCTTTGGGGCACAGAGCACCGGGCTGGGGGCAGCACCCAGTGCCCCGCTCACATCCCGCAGCGCCGGGCAGCACGGCCATGCCCCACGCATGCACTGACCTCGCGGTGCCGTGCAGCACTAATGAGGGGCCTAAAATAACCCTGTGGCCACAACTGCTTTCATTCCCGTGACAGGTGCGTTCCTAAGTTAGCTGCCACACGTGTCCCTCGGTTGGCATGGGGATGGGGTGTGCATCTTTGGGACGGGGGCAAGGAGAGGGGCCGGGGGTGGTGGTGCTGCACCTCAGGTCTCTCATGAGAGCGTGTGCTTCACTTTACTTACAGAGACAGACCATCGACCATTTCAAGCAACCATGAAAACGGCCGCGAGGAAGAAACGTCGGAGGGACAGCGTCTCGATCTGCAAGCAAAATAAAACACGCTGTGATGAGAGAGCAGAGGGACAGCTCTCAGCCCGGGGGGGCCTGGTTTGTGCACAGCACCACGGGCACAGCTCCGTGCGACCCACTGGAGCTCAGAGGGTGCTTCACTGCCCCATTGGGTCCCTGGCAAAACTTCCACGAGGCTGAGAACAAGTCAAAACGCTGCCCCAAAGAAGGGCCAGGGCGGTGGCAGGGCACCCATACCCATGGGATGGAGATGCCCACAGCTGGCCCCTGCAGAAGGGTTGGGATTAAAAAGCAAAACCCCTCAGAGCACGGACGGGCACAATCTGATTTCTAATTAGAGGACATCTGGTTGGGAGCAGGGCTGGTATTGGGGTGTCATTTTGGGACTGTTTCATCCCTGATGGGGTTTCTATGCAAGAAGGAGGTACAGGCATGCATGTGCTTAGAGACAGACCTCAGCAAGCCACAGCAGCCCTGGTGGCAGGGACTGCCTCATCCCCTGCCCACCCGAGCTGCCCATCAGTATCCCAGGGCTGCCCCATCGGTGTTGGGACCAAGCTGAGTGTGAGCCCTGCAGGCACACGATGAGTGCACACAGCACTGGTGCGGCCGGGGCTCCCCCCAGCTAGAGACCCTGATGGCAGCATGCTGTGACCCGGACACAGACAGGAGGAGCCCCGCCATGTGGGGCCGTGACACTGTCCCAGCACCCTGCGGCAGTTCTGCACCGGTGCTGCTCCTATTTGGTGACCACATGGCAGGAGAGAGACCTGGACCTGGACATCCCCATCCCCAAGCGTCTCTCCAGGAACGGGCAGAGCGCACACGGCCTCAATCCCTACTCTGGCACACAGATGGCACGAGGACGCCGCACCACCCCAAAACACGGTGCAAGCCCAACTTTGCCACCCATCCCCAACACAATCCCCATCCCCATACTCACTGGTGCTGGGTGTGAAGGAGGGGTGACGCGTGGCTCCCTGCGTGACGGCGGGCGGCGGCGGCGGCATGTTGGGCGGCGTGGACCTGGGCTGCGTCTTGACGTCGGCCGGCGAGTCGGGCATGGTGGCAGCCCGTGGTGCGGCGGGGTCTGCGGGGACAGGGCGGGTGGTGAGCGGCACCTGGGTGGGTAGGGCACAACGGGGACCTTTCTGGGATGTGTCCGGACCCCACAGCGGGGTGGGAGTGTGGGGCACCTGGCGCACTGTGCGGGGCGGCGGGACGGGGTGCGGACACGTGTTGCATCTGACAGCAGAGCAGCACCCAGCCCCGAGGGCAAACGGGGTGAGATGAGGGGTTCAGGGGGCGGGCCTGGAGACGGCACCGAGTCCAGCAACACCCGTCTGGCACAGGGTGTCCATCCAGCCCTGTCCCCATCCAGCCCTGTCCCCACGCCGGAGAATCGCGGCGCCAACACGGCTGTTCCACGCTCCCCACCGGGAGGAGATTTTCCACGAACCGCTGCATCTGGGCGTGTGATTTCTTTCCTTTTCTTCCCCCCTCCTCTCCAAGCCATAAATTTTCCCGGCTGTGTTCGCAGTCCAAACACCACCGTGTGAGCACGGGAGCAAGAGGCGGCCCCAAAATGTGGCATTGCTCAGCACTGGAGCCCAGAAACACCCAAAGCAATGCAGTGTCCCTACGGGGCCACGGCGGGACGCCGTCTCTCCCTCTGCACACCCCAGCCTCTGCCCCCCAATGCCCCTGCAGTGACAGCATCCCGCAGCCTGCCACGTGTCCCTCTGGCCCTCCCAGGGGTCACCAGGCGGTGCTCACACTCTGCCCCCAAACGTGGCAGCGTTTCCCCAGCGCCGCTCAACCTCCGCTGGAATTTTTTTCCCCCCCGTTTTCTTATTCTTTTTTCTTTTCTTTTTTTTTTTTTCCTTTGGGGTAATTTGTCCCAGCCGCTTGGGGCTGTGTCTGTTTTCCTACATCTGGTTTCCATTAGGCTCAGCGCAGCCCAGATGAATAAGTAATAATATAAAAATAAAAGGATTAGTCTTTGCTCCGCCGCAGCACCCCGCCCTGCCTCCCCCCTGGGAATGGGATGCCGGACCCCCGTGCCCCCAAACCCCATTTGTCACACTGCAGGGTTTTAACCCCCAGCACGCTGGGCTGGGCACGGTCCCCACCGGCTGATGGCTGTGCCACCACTGCAAGCATCGTGCGATGCAGCCGTCCCTCTGCTCAATGGGGCAGCTGGGGACAAGGACAGCAGGGCCGTACCCACAGGGGCTGCACAGCACACGGGGTGGTTGCAGCCCCTCTGCATCCCCCAGCACGGAGCCGGTCCGGAGAGCCGTCGGCGACGAAGGGGTTAAAAGGGAATTAAAAGAACAGCATCTTTCATGCTCTCCAAATGGCCACAAATGAAATCCAGATGCTGGAGGCGACGTCTCCCGAAGCCAGGCTGCCTCCCAAACAAAGGAAAGCATTCCTGCTGCTCAGCTGCTGGTGCCACGGGGGCCAAGAACAACTCCCAGATAGGACTGCGAGGGCCGGAGCCGCTCCATCTGGAGTGCGTTAGGGCAGCGCTGAGCCGGCGGCAGCTCCACGTGTGCGAGCGGGCAGGGGTCGGGGGAACGCACGTGGGGAGGTGGGGGCACAGCCACCCTGCTGCCTTCCTGGTACAGAACATGGTGATGGGGGTGCTGAGCATCCCATCCCTCAGGGAGCAGCTGGGGTCAAGCGACCGAGGCTATGGGGATGCTCATGGGGATGCCTGTGGGGATGCTCATGGAGATACTCACAGGGATGCTCACCAAGCCAAACCTTCCCCAGTGCTGCCATCAGCTCTAGAACACAGCCCAAGCATGGGGAAAAGTCCCACCATGGGGACACCATGACCACGGGGTGACACCGGTGAGGACACAGAGCATCACGGTGCTGGAAGGATGCTGCTGACCAAAGAGCTACCCCACATCCAAAAGGGTTTTGCAATGGGATCCCAGAACAGAGGCAGGGTGGGGATGAACTGCTCTGGGCTGACAGATTGAAAGTGAGGGCAGCCCCCAGCCTGGCTGCACCAGCCCAGCACCACGGGGTGCCCACAATCCCTGGGTGCTTCTCCCTGAAACCCAAACTGATCCAACCCAACCACAGCTCCCAGCCAACGCAATGAGGGTGAGAGGGAAGGAGGGAAGGAGGGCATTTTGATTTTCCTTAAAAAAAAAATAAAAAGGAAAAAAAAAAAAACCCCAACCCTACAAGAAAAAGCCCTCTCTGTTTTACAAGCCTTCATTTGCTATTGTTTATGTAAACAGGTAAATTGTTTCGTATCTCAATTAAAAACATCTGCCACATAAATGAATACCAATTAACTCATCCTGTTTTTAATTACTCTGTTAATTACACACAGGCAGCAAAAAGGATGGCAGGGGAATAGGGAAAGCATGCTCGCAGCCCCCCCTTCCCACCTTGCTCTTGGCAAGGATCCGAAATATGCCCAGATAATGATGGATTAAGGTGGCTGGTGAAAACAATGGCTCGTCGCCAGCTCCGGGGATTTCGGCTCCCTCCCGGGTTCCTCGTAGGGTATTTCCCATGGCCTCCCCGTGACGCCCCGCTCCAAAGCCCCCCCCTCCTCCCCATGCCCTGGGAACGGCCGCATCCCCCCCGCAACGCACCCGGAGCCGGGAGAGACGCCGGCAGACGCACGCAGGGAGGAAGGAGGACGCTTTCGCCGTGCATCATCCCCACGGACCCGACGCAGCCCCTGTGATGGATGCGGGGTGGCACGGCTCCCCAGCGCGGCGCTGATCACCGGTGACCCCCGTGCCGTCAGCTGCATCGCTCTCGCGGTCTCACCCCCCCCTTTCCCCCCCCCCGGGCTTCGGGCGGCGTTCCAAGCGAGCAGATGGGGCAGGGGGAGCGGCGGCGGCGAGGAGGAGAGCAGAAAAGGCTATTTTCTCACGCTACATATTTTACAAGTCGAACATTTTGTGCGTTTCAGCCTTTGCCTGGAAAAGCGTCTCGGGACTGAGCGCCGGAGCGCGTGACTCAGCGTGGGACCGAGCGGGATCCCGTTGTCCCTGCGCTCCTCCAGCTGCAAACCCGACCCATCCAGCGCTGGGGGAGCACGGGACGGAGCCTGCCCCACTGCCCGGTGCCGTGCCCCACCACCAGCAGTTTGCAGGAGGACGTGGCACCCCCCCCCCCCCACCCCGTGCCGTTCCCCAGCTGTGTGTGCACCTGGGATTTAAACAGACTCTCTAAACACCGCGAGCAAACAGCACCAGCGTGGGCACGTGTGGGGCTGAGCTCTGCAAAGCATTGCCCAGAAAGGAGGCGTCCACGGCTGCAAACCCCATCCCTGTGCAACGGCCCAGTGCCGTGGGTATGGGTGCATCATGGGGCCACATCCCCGTGCCGTGGCCACGTCCTCGTGCAGCAGATACTGGCACACTGCGGGGCCAAATCCCCATACAGTGCCCACAGACACACCATGGGGCCACATCCCCGTGCCGTGGCCATATTCCAGGGCCAGGGGTCAGGGCACAGCACAGACCAACGTCCCCATGCAGTGGCCACGTCCCTGTGCCACGGCTATGGGCACACCGTGGGGTCACAGTGTCAGGCCTCAGGTTAAAACGCTCTGTGCTGTCTTTTCTGCAGTGTCCAAGGGTGGCCTCGTCCCTACAAGTGGCACACGTGGCCCTACAAGCACTGGGATGGGGATGGCTCTGGGGGGGGCCCAGCAAAGCACCCCCACAGCCACCAGGCTGCTGCGTCTCCAACTCTTTGTCTCTCTTTAACCGCAGGCTCCATCTCAAGGCAATTTCACCCGTGTGAGATTTAATGCAATAAGGGCAGGAAAAAAAAAGAAAAATATTAATGAGAATTTTGCAAAATAAACAGGAAATCCTTCGGATGCTTTCTGGAAATGTTGGTCAGCATCTTCCGAAGGGAAGCTGCGGGCTCGTCAAGGTGGGGCTGCCCCTGGGGAGGCCGAGAGGGCTGGGAGGAGAGGCAGCAAACAAGCACCAGGAAATCCAAAAATAAGCCCCGACCCGGGCAGCACCGCCAGCTCAGCCTCCATCCCAGCGCTGTGGACGCTCCAGTTTTGCACCGAGCTCCCGGTGCTGCCTGCAGAATCAGGCCCTGAGCCGCTCAAACCGCGCCTGTGCCGCAGCTGCAGCCGTCCGGCCAGGGGCTGAATCAGTGCCGGTAGCTGTGCCCAACTTGTGCCGTGGGCTCCTCTTCTCCCGGGGTCCTACAGCACCCAGGGCAGCCCTGTGGGGCTCTGAGCGTGAGCTGAGTGGAGCCGACCGCTCGTCACAGTGAAGATAAGGGCGCACAGAGCGCAGCACAGCCCACCCCGAGCTGCCAGTGCCCCGAGCCCCCGACCCACGCGGCGCACGCAGCACCGGGGCCAAGCACAGCACCGCTGCATTTTTGCATCCTCCACCCTCTAACTCCTCAACAGATCAAACCCCGCACCCACACGAGGCCTCACCGCACACCGGCACCCAGCCCCACGGCAGCACCCAGCCCCATAGGAAAACATTCCGCCTCCTCCTCCCTATGCGCGCATTTACGAAACAGAACGTGCCCCCCTCGCCTCCCCCGGCACACGGAGGGAAACGCAGCCCCAGCGCTCCGCTCAACCCAAACCGACGCGGCCCCCAAACTCGGGGCTCTGGAGGTGCGGATCCTCACCCGAGCGGCACTGCGGAGCTGCGGCTGCCGGGGCTCTCAGCGCTGCCCCCCGCTGCTGCTCCGTGCCCGTTGTGTGATTCCCGGACGGCTCCGCAGCATCTCCGCTCCCGGAGCCAAACGGCGGCGGTCGGTCCTCGAGTCGCTCGACAAAGGAGCGGATAACTGAGATTCCTTTCAGTTAAAGGTGGAGGAAAAGGGAAAAAAAAGAAGAAAAATTCTCTCTTTGTTCCCGAACAGAGGGAAAACAACGGAGGGAAGAGCTGCGGAGCTCCTTCTGAGCTGGAGACGAAACCATCGCTCAGATTCAAAGGCACTGTCAAGGCGCACGTGACCCCAAATTAAGAAAACAAAATGAAGCGGCGGCGGCTCCGTGACACCGAAGGGAAGTTGCAAAGTTGTTGCTTTTTTTTTTTTTCCTCGGCTA